TTTAATTAAAATACTACAGTGATAATATAAAGTTATTACTGATCAGTGATAATACTAAATAGCTGCAAGGTGTTAGTAACTAAGCACGCATAACACAGAGCTCTGACCCAACAGGCGTCCCTGTGGGGGGGAGAAGAGAGGTTCAGCCCGTCGACTGATCCCGGACGTTCCGATGGGGGGGGTTTCTCCCTAGCATCCCCTTTGTCTTTTGCCATTTTATATTGTTTCTTTACTTTCAGGTGGAGCTCGAGTGACTCTAGTCATACATCACTCTATTAGGATTGGTGAAAATTTCTCTCACGAGGGGTGGAGGTGTGATTCAGTGGCTAACCCGCCATTACTGCTAAAACAACGGTTGGATTTGTCTTTCACCAGGCGCTCCCTCATCCCTGATAACAGGGATGAGCCGTGGTACCTCCGTATCACTCTGCTCCCCGTTTCAAGGGTATTGTGTGGGCCTTGTTTGTAACAGGGGGTGAGCAGTGGTATCTCCGTATCACTCTACTCCCCATTTCAAGGACATTGTGTGGGCCTTGATTGTTCCTGGGAGCAGCAGCTGTGTCCAGCAGGCCGTGTCCCTCCTGGGAGCAGCAACTGTGTTTCACTTCAAAGTCGCTCTAATATTGCAGCCTTTGAGCTAAATTTTGAAAAGCTGTATTTCTCCAATTTTCGCCAATTTCAGTTATTTTCCCACACGTTGATAAAGTCTGAGAATTTGGAGAATAATAAATCTTGGCTTTTTGTAAGAACACACTGTATTAACAGTGTGGAAAAAACTGCCTTAATTGTTACAGATATTCTTCCAAACAGTTAATGCAGTGTTAAGAAGGCATTTGCTGCCATTGCCTCTAAAATAATCCAGAACTAGTCAGACAATATTCTCAAAAATAAAGGTGATTTTACTTGATACTATAACGTGTGTAATCACAAAGCTTTGAGGTTAGTGGTCAAATATTTTTTTTAAAAAATACCTCCTGCAAAGGCGTCTATTTTCTAATTTAAGTACTCATTTAGGATGCTCAGGGTGTTTCACAATGTCTCAGTTTCAAGTAACTATGAAATCAAAGATGTTTTAAACATTTTAGATGGTGTATGTGAACTGGGGTGTTGTCACAGCTGTATGGTCATCTTCAGAGAAGGCTTCTTTCTTTTAAAAAAAGAAAAATATAGGGTTCTGAGTTCAGGGCTGTAATGTAGTGAAAGCTCAATATGTAGAAAGCCGAGTATGTACTCAGCAGTATGTGTTAGGGGTTACAGCAAACAAATAACTTCTAGTGACAGTTAAAGAACAGATAGACAAAACGGGTTTGGTTGGGTAAAATGTTACTTCTCTGTGTGTATTTGTTGCTGAGGGGGAAATATTTTCTCCTTCCATGAAAACTTTAGGGAAATGATTGGCAGATTTACATATTTAAGTTAGGCTAAAATACCATGAGATTTTGCTTTCCTCTACTTGCATACTTACATCTACTTGACATCACAGATGCCGTTCACAATTGCCTTGTTTTATCCCCTTGAACGTGTCGTGTGTGTTGGGCTGAGATGCTGTGTTTCATAAGGTAGGGAGAGGAATTCACTTGTACATTTGAAATTTGTACGGTAGTATTTATCAACTCTGCTTCTCCAGCACTTGGGGAGCATAACTTTGGTGGCAGGTAGAGGGGGCAGGACACCAGTGTAATGCTGGTGTGCAGCTGAACCATCAGGAGTTCAAAAAACTGCGATACCTTTGGAGGTCTTTGGCTGTTATTACCACTTCCACCTGACTTCCTAATGTATATATGGCTGAACATTTGATTTGGGCTTAAACCGAGGAGAATTCCTGGTGAATATGTAACACCTAGATATGTGGTATCAGTCACGCTCATGGGGTGTGGGCTTCTCCTGAGCTTGCTTAATTGGATGCAGGACATAAAGCTGTGGGAATGTGACTTGGTTCACTCACCTGCCCAAAGCCTCCCATACGGCTCGTGTGCTCTTGATGCTGATGCTTCTGTTGGCACTGGAGTGAGCTAGATTAATTCGGGAATATATGCTCTCATGGAATTGTGACCTGAAGTTCAGCACTGTGGTGGTGTCTGAAAACCCACATTTCTGAGTGAGGATTTCGTTTCATTTCATTAAAGCCATCTCATTTACCATTAGAAATGCCAGACATTGGGTGGACATCCAGATATGGCAAACAGGTGTTTTTGTTGGAGAAAACGCTTAAGGATGGGGAATAAGAGCTGTACAAGGTCTTTTTTAATTAATACTATCACCTGAAATCCAAGGACAAGAATCTACCTTTCTATACTTAACCAGCATTAAAAATGTTATTAGAAAATTAGTAGATCCTATCACGGATGAATCTCCTGTAGTTTAAGGTGGATTTACGCGTTCCTGTACGTGCTTCTGCCTTATTTGTAGGATCATGTCTGTACGTTCCAGTGCCGATGAGCTGCCTGCTGGGGGAACACTAACATCACCAGTAGCTTACTGCTCGTGAAGGGGGTGGTGAAAAGGTCTGAGCATGCTGTCCTAAAAATAACTGGTGTCGGAGGCTGACAGCTGAGTTAAGTTATTTTGTGGGTAACTATCAAGGGAACAGGCATCTCTCCAAATACTATTAACTGTGTGTCATTTTGTTCTCAGACTGCCATGTGTATTAAAAGATATTTAAGGTTTAGAAAGGGGAGAAGTATATTGTCAGAATAGGTGGTGTGGGTCCAAAAAGGTGTTATTTTCGTTGGTACAAGATTCTCAAAAAATAAAGTGTGGAAGTTAAGGTCAAAGATAACTTCTTATACTTAGAATAAGTGCAACGTTGTAACTCAGTACTAACTTTTTTATTTGTCTGTAGGCTTTAAGTCTAGTCACTTGATGGGAATTCATTCTCTTCTTCTAGGACAATACTACAAAACATGATAAAATTAATAACCTTTATTTTCTTCCATGTGTTGCAGTAGTGTTGTTACGGCATGGGACAGTGATGCGCCCTGGGAGTACTAGTTTTAACTTGCATGATATATAGGAAGAACATGATTTTTATAGTGCTTGAATATCGGGAATTTTTAAGCGCAAAAGTTCTTTTTAAAGAGTGTTTTCTCACTCACTGGTTGGTAGATGATTCAGATTTATAGTAGTTGCAGACATTTGTAGTGGCAAATACAATTTTGAGTATATAGTTGTTATATTTTAAAATGTGTATGTCTGATTTGCTCTGAAAGGGTAATATAGCATTGCTTGTCAAAATGCAAGTTCCTTTTTTAAAATTTTCAGCAAAATTCTAAGTAATTGCATGTACTAGAGGATAAAAATCCAATTCTGCTGGCTTTTGGCTCCCCTAATGTTTAGGGACTAGACTTGGTCATTAGGGTTTAGCCAAATCAAGTTGTTTTTCAAAAAACTAGGTGTCTAGTCTGTTGGCAAACGTTTGCAGCCAGTTAAAGCTCTGTTCCATATGTGTGAAAGCAGGCTTGGAAGCACTCTGCAGCTGGTCGTGTGGCTTTGCCCTTACAAACGGATTTGACTTCAAAGGTGGGCTGCCTTTGCTTTGCACAGACGTACTATTGTGTTTGTAGTTGTATTTCCCAGAACTCTTAACATTACTTTTTTATTTGCATAGACATGCAGCAGAGCTTCCATTAGCCTTACACTTACCACGTTTTCTCATTTTGTCACTTTTAGCTTTGGGCTTCAGTTAAGGAGAAGCATAATACCTTTGCATCCAGTTTGAGGGAGCAGCTGTGTATCCTGCAGCCTACCTAGGTAGGCTTTGATTCCTTCAAGGTAGCGTAGAAGTTGTCATTTAAAGCCTAACAATGTAGTACATAAAGAAGTCTATCCTGCCTTGCTCACTCTTACAGCTAGACACCATGATCTGGACACAGTTTCAGTTACACCTCAAAAGTGCAGGTAGAGCCTTTACATCCCCGCAGCTGCTGGCCCCCTCCGAAGGTACGTCGAGGTTTGCACAGTAGTGCACTGCATGCTTACAAGCTTTTTGTCCAGTGTAAACCTCCCTGTTTCTATTGTTACAAATCTAGTGCCAGCACAGGGAGAAAATGACAAGTGGAGGATCAGAGGAAATAGTGTTGAGTAGTTCTTGCAGTGTCAAGTAATGTTTCAGGCTTGAAAATCAGCACTTTGTGAACATGTAATGATCTGTGATTATTGGTGTTGTATCTGTTTATTACACCAAGCATCTGCCTTATGCAGTTGAGTGGATTCTGGACACTCTTGGATGCTGTCCTTACCTGAAGTAGTTTGAGAAGAGCAATTAGACAACATGTTCTTTGTTTCACAACTGAGATCTTTAAAGACAGAGATTTTTTAAAATAAAGGAAGAAACGTAATTTAGTGCTAGAATGTTGGACAGGAGCACTTTTGGTGAGCTCAAGAAAAACAACAAAGATTTCAGGAGAAATAAGACCAAAGAAATAAGTAATTAGTGAGGAAGCTGGCTCAGTGGTGTGATCTAAAGCACAGTGTAAAAAAAATGTCAGCTGGGCTAATAGGCAGCTATATTTAAAATGTGGGCTGCTGTGAGAATGGGTGTATTCTGAACCAAGCACTGGCCCCAAAATGGTTCTTAGAATTTTGAGGCTGATGGCACTGAACCAGTAATATTAGACCTCACAGGTCAGCTTCATGTTGGTGTAAATAGATGGAAACGTGAAAGATGAGGTTTTGTCATCGCTATCCAGAATCAGCTGTGTGATTACCCCTGAGATACATAACATTTATGTCTGCAGTTCAAGGAAGGTAATGGTAACAAGCAAAATAATACAGATGGAAGCATGGGGGAACATATGTTCTAGAGACACTCGATGTGTTCAGTTTAACAGCAGGTGAAGGAATAATTTGATCTTTGCTCAGTATTTCTGTGGGGACCAGGAGATAGAGACTAGAAGTCTTGTGAGTTTAACAGGCGGTTGTGTGTGAGGATCTAATGGCTAGGAACTCTATTTGGGGGAGGATGCTAAGTGTTCTATATCTGTTGGTGTTCTGGGATAGCTTACTGGTGCTGTGCAGAAGATGCCTCAGGATGGCAGACCTTCAGTCAAGGTACTGTGCTGCTGCCAAACATTCCTGGCCCAGCAGGAGTCAGCTCAAACCAAGAATTGGTGATGGGGGGGAAATCTCTTGTGGACTCGGAAGCTTGGCATGGCGATGCTTTACTGTGAACTCGCTGCTAAGCACTGTCTTGGTTTGAACCTTGGATAGTGCAGTGAGAAGTGGGAAAGGTTACTGACTCGAATGCTGAAGGGATTTTTCTTTTTTTCTTCTTTGTAGTGAAAGTTAAAGGGGGCATTGTTTGGCCTTGAGTTTCTGTGCTTACTATTGTGATGGCTAATTTAATTCCAGGTGAGGAGTTTTAATTTTGGTTACAAACATGGAAGAAATAGCAAGTGGCAGGTCTCTGATTAACTTTCCTCTCTACTCAGAGAAAGCGCCCACCAAGCCTCTCTGGAAGACAAGTGCCTGAAAATCTGAAGCTGATACAGCAAAACCTTCTCTCCATAGAAACCAGTTTTAGTACCGTGTGTTGTATATGTGCGTAAGGGTGGAGATTCCCTCCTTTAGGTGTTGCTGTGATGAGTCGACTTCAGAGTGTTTGGCTGGGAGCACAGGCTCTTTGGAGACTCTCTGGGGTGGTGGAGCTGGGCATCAGCTTCCTGCTGTGCCCTGGCAGCGGGGAGTTCTATTGTGTTACTCCTAAAGAAGGAAAATGCCCTCAGATGTGATGGAGATGGTAGTAACTTTGTTTCCAGCTGTGTGGGATTTTCTGTGGTTTTATTAATCCAAATAGATTCCTTTTGCATGCTGCAGTAAGGTGTTTTTTTTGTTTTCTTTCCTTCCCCTTACCCCATACCTCTGCTACCTTTGTTTCTAAACTTCAGCTGACATGATGCTGTGCTCCTTTTCTAACTTGTAGCTGACCAGTTAGACGCCATTCCCCTGTATCTTCTCAAGAATTTGTCCATCTCAGTGGAGGGGAGGTGCTCTGAGCTTGGATACTGATCTTGGCATCACAGTTTTGTGATGGTGTGATAGTTTCCCTTGTGTCTTTGTAGTATTTCTTGGCTAAGTCTTCGGACCCTGTTGCCCCCTTCTGCAGCGGTTAAGTTTTGCTGTCTTCTTGTTAGTTATTAAATAGTAACAACTTCTCTTTCGTTGTCCTGAACGCTGGATTTTAGCTTTATAGTCCAGAGAACCTTTCTGCACTGGCTTTCACTAAAACTACAGGCCATTTCACTGGCTGTTCCTCAAATGTTTTTTCACAACTTCTGACATACAGTATATTTCAGTTTTGGTATTGGCAGTCTTTGTTGCAGTCTTATTACCATAATTGCTTATAGCAGCATCCCTGTTGGGATGTTCGTAATACAGCTATGCCAAAATGTCTTTCTCTTGCTCCTTGTCGTTATCTTTGTGATACACCCAATCAAATCAAAACCAATATCTTAATTTTTTTACTGTTTCCTTCTTAAAATTAACTGAATACTTTCTTTTAACCAGTCTGATGTGCACATGACTTCTTAATCCTTCCCTGTACATCAGCCTCTGTAGATAGTAGTTACTTGGTTTTTGTCTATGAATGACTTTTCAAAGCAAATTTTGTTGCTTTGTCATGTCACAGTCCTTAGAAGCTGTGTATGCTTCAGATGCAGCTATCTAGGGTGCCTTTCTTCACTGTGATGTAAGCTCTAAGTATGCAGCTCAGTAACACTCACCTTTTTGTTGCTACATGCTAAAAATTTCTGAACAAGCTGTCCTGTGTGCTGGCATCAAGGCTGTGTTGACACTAGCTTTTAACACTCCCATCGCATGCATTACTGCATATGCACACTTGTGGAAAGCCTTATTCTTTCTGCACTTGCTCTTGTTTGTAATGTTTCTGGATCCTTTTCTGTTCCTTGTTTTCAACTACTTCTAATATAATGTCTTAATTTTCATTCATGTGCGTACCTTCAGTTTTGCATCACTATTTCTAGGTCTGGGTCTTAGCTCTAAACACTTAACCCTCCAAGTTTGAAAATACTTGTAAATATGGAAATTGTATTTTAGTACTGGCAAAACAAATTGTCTTTGGAAGCTGTTTTGTAAAAATGACGCCACCTTTCGCTTGTCCTCTAGTTGGTGAGGGGTTTTTTTGATGCTGCGTCCATATTGGTGATGGATAATTGCCTGGATGTCTTTATATCTGAGTGTTTCCAAATGTCTGCCTCTCCTGTCTTGTATTGGGTACAGATACTGGTGACAGTAATCTGATTTAGTCTTAGTTCAAAATGTTTCTTTTGTGTATTTCTTAGCAAAAACATGAATTAAACATGAATTTCTGAAATGCTGGAAGAAGAAATAGGAATTTACCAGGTTAAGTTTAGGTGTAGCCCTGGGTTGTACAGCAGTGCTCTGCAAAACAGATGCTGTAAAACGTTCTTATATTTAAGTCTGAAGACTTGGGAGTTTTTTGATAAAGAGATTAACTGTAGCTCATAGGAGATGTTTTTTAACAGATGTAAGTGATTTTCCTTAGTTTCATTCCTTCATTGCTGCTTGAAAATTGAAATAAGTTTCCATTTATTTCAAGTAAAATAAATTTCAATTTTACTTGAAAAATGTAGTTTTGACATACCACTTCCATTGTTCTTGGAAGTAACCAGGCTTTGGTGGCAGGACAAGGCATCCAGAAAGTAGGTAGCAGAATAGTTGTGAGCAAAGCAGCAGAACTGTGTTCTTTGGAAAGTGCTTTCACCAAAGATGTGAACAGTTATAAACAATTAAATACCTACTTGATAGAACATAATCTTCACTGTTCTGACTAAAATACACAATTTCTGAGTAATTCAGTCTCATATCTATAGTAGCACTGTATACAGTGATATTAGCTGTTGGGCAAGGAACTCTTGGAAGCAAAAGGCTGTTGTCTGGCACTAACTCGTTCATAAAAACACTGGCATTGCGACAACCAGTTTTAAAGAGCACTGTAGGATAGAGTTTTCCCCTAAAAGATATTGACCTTAAAGGCAGGTACGGCATTAATTTTATTTTTTTAGCATTTCATAGCTAACATGTTTGAATGCATGCCCGTTTCTTAACTCTTGGGAAACCATTTGATAAATATAGCAAATGCATGGGGGAATTTATCTGTTTTGTTCTTACAGTAACAAAACCTTGTAGGAGAGCAGATTTTCTTGCATCAAAAAAAGCTGCAACTGTTGACCAAGATCACAAGTTTAGATGCAAGTTCTTGGACTGTTCAAAATCCTTCCGCAAAGCCAAGTTATTGCATTATCACATGAAATACTTTCATGGAGTGGAGAAGGCTACAGGATCACAGCAGAACCCTGTAAAAAGAAATATTCAAACCAGAGCTTCTTTGGCTTCTGAGAAAGCTAATCAAGAAAGGTCAAAAAGAGGACGGACCACAGCTGGTTCATTGTGTAAGTATGTTGCTGATCTATTCCTTTTTTTAAACAGCAGCAAGCAGGAGGAGCAGGAAAGAGCAGAAATCGATGCTTCCTTTGGGCCGAAGGAGTCTCCTTAGGGCTCCATCTTAGTGTTTTTCTCTGTGGAGAAGCAGTGTAACGTTTGAACATGATGTTTTAGAGACGATAAAATGGAAGAAAGTCCCTCTTCTAGAAATACGGATCATGTTCTGTAATGAACTGACTGTGCAGCTTGTCTTACTCCTTTGTAACAGCTCACTCGAGTATTAAACTTCTGTTCTTCTTTCGAAATCGCAATTCCTCGAGTTTCTCATCTTCCTCCCTCCCTGACTTGACAAATATCTAAGTAGTATTATAGTTCAAAAGCTTTTATCCTTTTCCATATTAAGGAAGCGGTCCGGGAACTCCATTTCTCTCCCATTTCTTACATGGTCTTCACATTTTCTGGTCTGACTTCAAGAATATGCTTAGCTAGAAATCGAGTACCAGCTTTCTGCAGTATTTACAGTTCTCATTGCTGGACCTGTGGGATGAAAAGTCCTAATAACAAATGCAGTTGCTACAGATGTGCTTGAAGATCCTCACACAACTGATGGGTAGTTGTGGAAGGAGGTAAAAACTTAATGGTTAGGAAGTATATAAATTCTGAGTTTTAACTGCTTTGCAGCCTTCATAATCACATTAACTTCAGGTTCACCATCTCATTCTCTGAAGCACTTTCTTCCTAATCTTGCATAATGCCAGAGTGGCAATCTAGGTCGAGTTGTGAACTGTGGTGGTGATGTTGATAACCTATACAAACTTTGTTCTTTGACTGACTTCTCTTTGTTAAGTTGTCATTTCTTTTGTCTTCTCATTGAGTCTGTTATACAAAATCCAGCTTTCTCTTTGCTGAATTCCCTGATGTTTTTTGTCTTTGCATTTGATCTTTCATTAATATTCTCTTTAAGAATTTCAAAGTCTTGCAAGTTGCTCACTGAGCTATCACTACAGCAGAATATATCTAGCCTTACTTTGCTTCATGTCTGCTTTTCCTAATGTGTCCAGCAAACTTGTTTTTTTCTGTTTGAAGTGCTAATGCCTGTTCCTAACAAAATAAGTGGAACTTAACTACATGTACTGCTACTACATGTAAACTTGTGTACATCAAATACTTCTGTAACTTTGAATAATGCAAAGGCATAAGATTTGGTTAAGTAGAGGAAGATTTTTCCTTAAATGCATTAGGATGTGCCAGCTGGCCTGTATTATGCTTTGCATGCAGCTTAAATGAAACCAGAGTACTGCCTTAAACACAACTGAGACGAGGCTTCGTGAAGAAGAGCTGCTAACAACTGCACAGTGATCAAAACAGGCTTCTTGCCTGTCACGTGCTTTTGCACAGACAGACTTCTCATCTGCTTTTTGTAACGACACAATTATTTTGGTTTGAGAAGTTGTTTTCCTGTGATTATCTGGAATGAATTGATTAGTGACTCAAGATCTTGACCCTTTCATTTATCCTTTCCCCCAAGTGCACACTGTTGGCTTGCTGTCATCATCTTGGCTGCACTGGCAGGTCATTCCTTATTGTCTGGAGTTGTAACCAGATTTGCTGATTTTTAAGCCCTTGCTCTTTTCATTCCTCGTTTGTGGCTGGTTACTTTTAACCCGGATTCTTTCGATGGTGTGCTTCAGCCCTTGGATTGTGCTGACAGCTGTTGAACAGTGCATCAAGGTGGAAGGTGGACCGTGAAGTTTACGAGTCACCTTCACTGTCAAAGCCTGCTATTGTGGAGCTACAGTAAGGTTTTCTTGATGAAGAAAAGTAATGTCATGATGTATCAGTTGTATCCTGTGTCTGATTTAAGTGCCATTTGATTTTTGACTCAATGTGTTCGTAATTCTCATTTTTGTTGTGGGGGTACCACACATTCTAAAGTAGAGTTAATGAAGTTTATAAGCTCATACTGTTGCATTTTGTGTTTTGTTCTCCTGTCTTTTTGCAAGCATCCTTTCTGTTCTTAATGGCATGTATAGGAAGACAGCCTGCTAAGAAAGACTTTTTCCGTGTCGACTGAACACTTTTATGCCATCTTTTAAAAGGCTTTTCAGGATGTACCGCTTAGTGAGAGCGGAGGCCTTTTACATAATTAAGTATGGTACATGGTGGGTTTGCTTTTCATCTTTACAATGCTTTTGTGAGCAAAAATTCTCCTGTTCAAAGTGTATATATTTCAATCTTTTTACCTTTTGGTACAAACTTCCTTTTCTTATACTTCACTGTATTAAATAGAAATTGCCACCTTTTCTTAAGCACTAAAACCTGACAGATAAGACTTTAGAAATCATGAGTTGTATTATTGCATAAGCTTGGAGATACTCTTGTTTTTAGAAGCTTTATCACACTTAAGTCCTTATCTCACCAGTTTTATTTTGGAGTTCTGAGACTCTTTACTGTTTCTGCTACACATTAAGGTATAAATAAATGGTGGAGTGGACTTGACTCTGCTAGATTTAAAGTGAAAATACTTATTGTTCCTAAAGTTCTAGGAAATTACACAATATTCAGAACAGTAGGAGAAACTTTTCCTTGTAGTGCTTAAAATCTAGAATTTTGACCCTTAGAAAAGATGATGGATATAAGTGGTCTTCAATGACCATGTTGTGGGATGCAGGAAGGAACAATTTAATTACTTTAAAATGGAGACTGAAATTTTGACATCTGAAATGTAAATTGTGCCACTTGGCATTGGCTTCAAAACTGGAGTGAGGTGGAAAGGTTAACATGGAACTGATCCGTCCTCTCGCCCTCTCTCTCTCTTCCTTAAGAAGGATCTTTGCAGTGGCAAATTTGACAGATAATTCTCTAAATTTTGTAGTGTTTCTTCATTGAACAGAGGGGAAAAAACTAGCATTGCCTAGCTTGTGTTTTAGATGTGCCTGACTATGAACGGAATGATGCAGACTTAAATGGCTGCTGGATGCAATACCTCTTCTCTTCAATTTATCAGGAAATATTACGAGATCATTATGATGAAACCACCTTCCCCCACCTCACGTTATAATATGTGCCTCCATGAGTATTGCTGCCATTGCTTTTACTGAAAGAATTGTCCTTACAGAGAATAAGGCAGTTGATTTTGTGCCCCCCTGGAGTATAGGAGATGCAGGCGTTTCTGCCCTCAGCTCTTAGGTTGCTACACCTCTTCAGGTGTGTTATCGAGCCACCTGCAGCTGTTGTGTTAAAGAGGAGAATCAAGACCTGCACAAATGTATGTGGATACATAAGCTTAAAACAAGCTTTTTGAGCGTAGGCTTCAGATGGCTTCTCAAAGCCTGTCTTGCAGAAAAGAATTGCTTAAGTTTTTGGCAGTTCAGATTGAAATGTTCTATCAAATTTATCACTTGGAACTTGAATGTGGTGTACTATGTTAACATTTTTGACAGCTAGTTACTCATTGATTGCTGTAATAAAAAAATGAGTGGAACCATGTTCCACACTCATGCATTAACCTCCAGATAGGCTTTTTTCTTTGTGGTCCCTTCTCTTTCTCTGCACAATCACTTAGTTTTCTGTTGAAGTATGTCATGCCATACTGTGACTTGTGCCCTACAAGCACTTAGTGTAAACAGCTTCCTCTGAAGGTGCCTGTTTGCTCTTTCAGATATGTCTGTCTGTCCATGTGAAGTGCTTGCAAAAGGTTATTAAAAATAAAGTTTTATCGTTTTCTGACCTAGACCACTCCAAGGGTACAAGGCATGGAATAGCTTCATTTCATTCTTTGTACCTGCAACTCATAATTTGAACATCTGAAATGTCTCTTCCTTGAGTTGGAGTCTTTCTGAATTGGTGGCTTTCATGTTTTAGTAAAATCTTTTCATTTGGAGGTACAATAAAATTTAGTTCATGCCCTTGTATTTGAGCAGTTTTTCTGAAATCTGAAAGTCAACATGCTCCAGACTTCAGTGCTTGCACAGCTGATGCACCTCACCTCAGACCTTGGAGAAGCTCTGTACTTCATAGATCCTGAAGATTTGTCAAGAAACTCTAACCTCATTAGATGTGAACAAGTAGGGAAGTTGATACACGAGTGCAAGGAAATGCCATCAAAACCTTCGCTAAGGTGGCTGGTGTGCTCTTAATTACCACTTAGTGGTGCTGACAGACTTGATACTGACCTCAGCACAACTGTTACACTGGTGAGGACTTCATCAGTTGACTTCTTTTACGCTCTCAGGACATGGTTCAGTTCCTCTGAGGTGTCTTGCTCTAAGGGAAGGGCAACCTGGTTTTGAGACTTTGAAAACGCTGTGCAGTAATTAGGCTGCGGTTTTGGTACGTGGGTATGTAATGGCAGCCTGAGCCTGGCAAGTTGCTGCCAGTCTTGGCTCTGCTGTGCTCCTTGCCACAAGGAAGAAAAGAAAGCAACAGACCTGTGACTTTGCAGTTCAGAGACTGTAGAAAATCTGTTCCTACTGAGGAGTCCATAAGAGGTACTTCAAGAGAAAACATGCATTTTGTCAGTAGGTTTAAATTTTTGTATGTGACCTCATTGTCGGAAAATTCTGCCCGCTCAAAGTTGGTTGCTTGTGCATTAACATGACATATTGTGTCTTAATGCCAGGAATACATGTAAAGAAAAAAGGGGTCTCGTTGTTACTCACGTTGCTGACAAGATCCTAACTGCCTGCGTAGGGAACAGGTTGGCAAACTTGCTTTGACAGATTAAACATATAGGGCATCCAGCTGTCAGCTGGTAGCTGCTACCATGTGAACCTCTGGCATGTGGCTTAGGGCCTTTCAGGGTGATCCTTCGGGGGTTCCCGTTTCCTCTGATACTGGCTGATGGATGCCTCTTGGCTAAGCAGTGGAGTGTGCGTGGGTGACCTACAAACGCATGGGAGTAGGTGAAGATCTGCATTAACACCCTCCGTGTTCTGCAGAACTGCTGATGGGCTTTGTGGCTTACCTTGAGATGCTGCGTTCGGGCTGGGGAGGAAGACTGTGTGAGATACTTCAGCTGTAAGCCAGGACGTTTTGTGGGCTTTCCGTTCTTGAAAGTATCAATGGATGTTCTCAGCAAATGATGTCGTAGCTGTGGATGGTGAATGTTATTTGATTCGTAACACTTGAGAGAATTCAGTTTCTGCTTTCTGGAAAGGCTGAACTGTGTTTGCTGAGGCCTGACATCTTTTATGTTCCATCAGGCAGAAAGCTGTTGCCTAATCTGTCACTGAATCTTGACATGCTTACGTACAATGTTTCTTAAGGCTCTGTCCTTGTGGCCTCTGCGTGGTTGAGGTGGTGTCATATCTCAGATCCGCATTTGTCAGTTTCTAAGATCCTTCGTGGCTTCTGGACCACCTCTTTATGTGGAAGAGGATACTTCTCCCTCCTGAAAGAACTCTGCGGAAGACTGTGGGCAGTTCATCAGCCAGCCTCTTCATCTCTGATTTTTTTATAAACATATCTCCTGTTAACGGTAGTGTCATCAGAGCTGGAAATTAATCTGCTGGTATTTAATTCCAACATCACTGTTGAAGAACAGTGAAACTGTTCACTGCCCTGGATGTCAGCAGGGCTTTGATGGTCTGTTTGCAGAGAATTGTATAATTCTAGCGATGATTAATGATATTGGATCATAGAGGTATTGAAGGGTACTAATACCTGTTTTGATTTCGGTTTGTTGAGCATCATCAGGAAGGTGTGGGATGCTGTAGTTTAGATGCCTCGGGATGTCTCTAAGACAAGTGCAGGTGTCTTTGTGAGACCTGGATAGACAGCTTTAGGAAACGCATAGAAGTCTCCTGTGCACTTCCTAACAGGAGTCTCTCTGAGCATGGTCCTGCTGCTCACTACAGACCACAGTGCAGTTATCTTGCTGCTGCAGGGCTCAGTGGAGTGCTTACAGGGAGGGGTGACTCACAAGAGAAGTTAGTTACAGCGCTAACAAAAGTTGGAGGTGTCCATGTAAAAAGTTGGAGATGTCCATGTAAACAGTGTATTGTGTGCTGTGTGTTGGCCTTTACTGAGACTGCAAATTCGGAGTTCCTGTGACTGGGGAGAAGCAGAGGAGTAAACCCTTCTGGAGGGTGAAGCTTGGCTCAGGGAGTTGGAAGGGTGAAAGCCCATGGCACACTCAGCAGGTGCTGCTGGAGCAGAAGGGCTGAACTGGGGGAATGTGCAAGTTCTAAACGCATATACCTAAATACACGTTCTTGGTTGCAGTTGTTAGGGTAAATAATTGCTCTTTATTCTTTTGGGGGTGATTTTATAAATTGACCTGTCCAAATTATGCTTGAAAATGTTGTGTTGAGAGGAAACAGGACGCTAAACATAGAAGGCTTACAGGTTTGGTTCCTCATGGCATGAGTTTTAACGTTTACTTTCGCCAAAGTTTGGGGTGACTTTCCAGTTTTTTTAATCTCATCTTCTCAGATTTAGTCTCAACTCCTAAAATATATTTGAGTGCTCAAAGATCTCACAGACCCTCTAAACTTTTCTATCAATGGAACAAAAGGTGTTTCAAAACTTAACGTATTGGTTGATAACTATTTTTTTGTCAGTTACTAAAGAAAATTACATCCAGTGTATGCCTGAGTACCGTTGAACTCCCCCAGCACAGTGTTACTGGTGGCTGAAAAATCTTACAGAAATGTATTAACCTTCCTATGTCATAGAAGATATGACATATTCTTGGCAAAAATCTCCTTAAACTTCAGTCTTACAAAGCTAAAAAACTTAATGGACTCAAAATACAGTTTTGTTCCACCAAGAGACCATGTGCACAGATTTCAGCTCATAGGAAGCCCGGACGCCTTAGGCTGGTGGGACCAAGGTGACCGTGGGTTTTTTCAAATGTTAATTCGTGAAATTGAGTTGAGCTGTTGGGAGGGGGAAAGGTCAGGAGGCCTGATTAAAGGTTGTCTGGTTTGTATAGGTATTTCTGTTGTAATTTTGGCCTTCCCTGAGGTGATGTTCTGTAATTATTTTTGGAACTTAATGCAGAATGATATTTACATGGCTTCTTACCCTGTGCTGCTTCAAACAGTTTACATTTCAGAAAGTTTGTTAGGACACTGGTGTTCCCAAACAGGTTATGAAGTACCTTAATCTTATTTTTCAACTACCATGTACCATGGAAAAAGTTTCGTCTGTCTCAACTGGTGATGTCTTGTTCAAGCCACTAATCGTGGAAGTCCTCAGATAAGCAAATTCTGTTAGCAAGAAGTCCTACAACAATAGACCTGTACTTAAACAAACAAACAATAACCACAAAACACACACAAAAGAACACAAAACCGCACAAACAACAACAGAAACCAACAGCAAAACCCACCCTCTTTATACTTATTCCTGCAAGAGAATATAAGTTCAGCCCTGTTGATAACGGAAGGCCATACACATACTGCAGTATCTTATCAAGGACTATTTTCTGATTTTTGACACTTTTGCACACTGTGGTATGTCATAAGGACAATCTTCTGGTTTTGGTAATTCTTTGTGGACAAAGGATGTTATTTTGTACAGTCTTGCAGCTCTTGAGGTAGATAAGCACCCAGGGAAAGGTAACAGTGAGTTGCCTGGCTGGACAAAAGGTACCTTGATGAGACAGTCTTGTGTGGAGATTTGGGGTGGTCTGATTTCTGTCTTCTGTTGTGACTGCTCTGTAACCACTTGGTTACAGAGAGTTACGAATGACTCTTTATCTGTTTTTCCCCTTCAAGTTTTAATGCAACTTCAGAGTGAGAGGACCAGGGGAAAAGTCATCTGATGACTGTCAGATTTCTGTATCTTGGAGTTTCTTTTGCTTGAAGAGATCTACTTGATTCTGAATGCTCTGTAAAGACATTTCTTACTGTGCCTTGTCGTAGCTTCAACTTGAAATGTTGGTCAGGGCAGGGTGCTTGATCTTGTTTCTTCTCCCGAGTATGTTCTCTTGGACTCTTTTCGTTCAGTTTTCAGGCCTTTTCAGGTACTGCTCACAGTTACTTAGAAGTGTCCAAGTGAAGCATGTAAGTCTTCAGACAAGAAGTAAATTGCCTTTCATATCCACTGAACTTTTGAGAAACTTATGATGATAGAACTGGACAGTCTTGATGAAGGTCAGCAAGCTCTCACCATGGCTACTGTGTCTTCTTGACCAACATACTTGATGTCATACTCCGAAATGGCAATGTGCTTGTCTCGTTTAGTCTGGCTGTCCTACATGCCATGTAGCCTTAGCTTTTATCAGCTCTGTTTCTCTTTTTCAGTGCCTGGAGTCTTTCATTAGGAGTTGCTAGCTGTAGTCAGGAAGGTGAGAACTGATTGACTTCAGTAGTAAACGGAATCCCAGATGAAGCCAGGGCTGATTTCATGATGCTGTCAGTTTTAGATAGCGTTCCTGAGTTCTTACATCTCACTCAGGTGAAACACTGTTGCTTCAGTGGAATGTACTTTCAATCGGCCTGTCCTTGGGTGTGCGAAGCTTCTCTGTGCTGCTTCTGTGTATCTCGTTACAAAGCAGGCTTCTGAGAACAGGTTGTGGTTCTTCTAACAGGGCTCCTTTTCTTTTCTCTCTAATAATAAAAATTCCCTAACCCACATCTCTGCCAAATGGTTTCTCTTTCCATCTTTCTTCAAGGCAGCAGTATTTCTGGAAGAACGGAACTTTGGGGAATGCATTTGCGTCCACTGTTTCTTTTTTTGAAAAAAAAAATCAAAAACAAACCAAACAAACCAACAAAAGCATTACAGGTGTTAGCCTTTAAATCTGCTTCTCTTGAAAAGCTTTTCCGTGGCCAAGTTGCTAGGATTGGGAGTTGAGTTCTGATCAGAAACACTCCACATGGACTGGCAGAGCAGCTGCTGGTGAAGTAGACCTACATTTTGAAAGTACTTAAAGCTTGGACTTCGTCTTTATTCTCTTTGTAGATGCTCCTCTACACATAGCCCTAAGGAATACCCCATATAGAGACGAAAAAATAGAAAAGAGAAGAACTTCAACTCCTGTAAGTGCATTAAATAGTCTCCGACATTCTGTTAGAAATCAAACCAAGAACCACATAGCGAGATCGCTGCGGAAGCCTCAAGAAAAAGGAAGAGTTGAAAATGGTACGGCCTTTTTAGTTTAACATGAAAAAGTTAAACTTGGAAAAGTTTTGGAAAAGTTGTAAGCATTGTAAGGAACTGATAACATTGACAGAAGGTAGTCTGTATATCTTCTTTTAGAGAGTTTAGTTTTTTATGAATGTGTAGTATAAAGTGTAAGTGGGGTTTTCTTTCCAGTAGTTTCAAATGAAGAATCAATACAGGGAATTTTATAACTTTTCTTGCTGTATACATTGGGGATTAATCTTCCCAGTCAGCGTGCGATATTTTTAAGATGTAAAAAGTACTGAAGTATTTAAGGGCATGAAAAGATTCTTATTTTTTGCTTGTTTCATACATGTGTCTTAATTCTGTTAAACTCTTGGTCATCCAAATCATTAAATATTTTAAGTAATTCTGAACTTGTTGAGATGCCTAAACTTAATAAAGCAGAAAAAAAAAAAGAGGAGGAGGGGCAGAGCGACCTCATTTCTTCTTTTGTAGTTTTTTTAAAAATAGTATTTGACTCCTTCTGGTAGTCAACATTCCTTGCTACTAAACATCTCTGAACAACTTTACTTCACAACTTTTGACTGTTCAGTGGTATAGTGTAAACACTGTTTGTACTGGAATCTACTATAATACAGGTGAGTAACAGCCATGAAGTGGGTTTTTTAAAAATAGTATTTGACTCCTTCTGGTAGTCAACATTCCTTGCTACTAAACATCTCTGAACAACTTTACTTCACAACTTTTGACTGTTCAGTGGTATAGTGTAAACACTGTTTGTACTGGAATCTACTATAATACAGGTGAGTAACAGCCATAAAGTGGGCGAAGTGTGTGTGTGTATACACACCCCCCCGTATATAAATACATATGCATATAAAAATATTATATTTTTCTTACATAAAATATAATGCTATATAATATATATTATTATATTTAAATAATACATCTTTTAAAATATTGCAATATATAAAAATAATATTTAGCATACTTCCAGATTTACTCCATCACCACTTTCCTTCAGATATGTGGTGAGAATTTGAGTCACAGTGATGAGGAAAACACAAAAAACCCATGCTTAGGCTGTTCTGTCTCTAACAGGTGAGCTTTGTTCTGGAGACAGTCTGGAGAAGGTCACCTTACCTGCCTGTCATGGAATTGTTCTAGTCAGTCAGTACTTGCCACCTCTGTTGGTTCCTGGGCCCCTTTGCTGCCTTCCCTTGTAGGAAGGTCTGAGTGAGATCCGTTGGTGTTTTCATCCTTGGGCTGACTCGGTAGGACATTCCTTATTTGAGAGTGTGGCACAGAGAGGTTAGAGTAGACTTCCACAGGGGTAGTGGAGAATGCGACTGGGTACTCGTCGTGGTCCTCATTAGTCTCTCTGCTGTTGAAGGAAATTGAGAGGACTTAGTTTGTCTGTGGTGATTTTGCCAGACAGTCCTTTTTAAAAATGTGGTGGTTGTGTGATGAATTTTTAAACTCATAGAAGGCAGTTTACCTTCCTCTTTGATCACATGAATCTGTGAGGATGCGCCTAAGCTAGATGTAGCCTCCTTATCTGGTCTTTTTTCAGTGAGAATTCAGTAGACTTACAAGTGCTTACGAGAAACAACTTGAGGCAAAAAGGTTCTTCAGTACAGGGTTTTTGGAAAGTCCCTCTTACAATATTTGTTCTTTGCAGGCTTTTTTTTTTTAGGAAAAAACAGTCCAGCATTAACCGTGTTGTACAGTTAAGACAGCTGTATACAGAAACTTGCAAATCTTGGATTTTTTCAGATTTTTAAGACATACTGGCAAGCTCAAGGGGAAAATGTGTGGAATGAAGTGACAGTTTTTTGTCATATTTATCACAGATATGTTGATAGCGACTGAAGTAGCATACTCTGCACTCTCAGATATCTGAAAACAAATCAGATGATCTGACATGCCAATTTCAATTTCCAAGTGAAAAGATGCAAAATTTTCCTACCTATGTTGACCTCAGTTATCATCTCTTTACCTTTATAGAAGAATAAAATAGCAGAACATATTTGCATCCCTGTATATGAGCAGGGAGAAGGAAATGATGCCCTGAGGATCCTGATGATTGGAGGACTAGGAGATGAGGACAAAGGAAAGTAAGAAGGAAGTTGGAAGCTCTGTGCTGAGACTTAAGTAGGAACCTCTTTCTCCGTTTTTTTTTTTACCTCCCTCAACAAATGGTAATGGAGGAGGGGTGAAGTTTGCCCATTGTGCTGCCAGCCAAAAGAGGAACTTGAGCAGCAGAGTAGCAGGAGATGTTCAAGGACTAAGAGAATGGGGAGATACAGAGATGAAGACTGTCATGAGGAGGAGCTAATGGGTGTGTCACCTGCATGCTCATCATAGCTGGTAAAACGTGACAGATTTCCAGGTTTTGAGTGAGCTGTTTGTACGTAATCCGTAGCCTTAGACTGTGACTTGGGGAGTCTACTGTTAGCACGTAGGGCAGAGGTTAACATAGTACACTGATGCTGCTGTTGGCTTCACAAGTGGTTACAGACCAGCTAGGGTTCTCAAATGAAGATTTGATACAGTATAGAGTGTCTTTAGGGGCTTATTCTGATATCAGGAGTCAGAAATTAAGATAGATTTCTAAATACGATGGTGAGTGGCTTAATCAGCCAAGCACTCCAAGAGCAGAGCCCTTTTGAGATGCAAGGCATCCTTCCATAGCAGATTTTATGGTTGCATGTATAGTCTTGGCTGAGTCAGGATAGTTTACTTAAGGAACTGTATGAGTACCTAGAAATTCTGCTGTGGAGACCTGAATCTGAAAGACAGGAGTTGTAAACAAATGCTAGGATATAGAAAGCAAGGGTTTGTGCACGTTACCTTGCACTGGGGTTACATTTCACAGCAAGTGCTCTGGAAGCGTGCTTTAAGGATGGACTTGATTGAAAGATATCACCCAATCATTCAAAAATTATGGTATTTTTTCATTCTCACAAAAGCATGATGGAGAATAGCAGTTGAAGCCAACTGAACCAGTTGTTACTCCATTTTCAATGAAAACACAATATTTCACTGAGGAAGTGTACTAGAGTTTAGACGCTTGTGGTTTTGTTCTCGTCAGACTCCTGTCATAATGCTACTGAAATGTTCAGCCATAATTTAGAAAATGGATATAACAAATCCCCCGGGATTTTCTTTATTAATAATCTCTGAAGCGTGTAAGCAGTAAATGGACATTGGTGTAGAGTTGATTTCTCCCATATGCTATTGTAATTTTGTTGTGGGACAACCAAATTAGAACTTAAACCAGAGCGTTCTAATCATGAGAGCTGGAAATTCTTACAAATAAGTTTTTGTGTTGTTTTTTGCAGTGAACTGGCCCTGATTGTCTTAAGAAACCATGGAGGTCTTTAAGAAAGTAAATAAGTAGAATAAGTGTGTATACATCTTAAAAATTAAATTAGAATGTTGTCTAATTTCAGCTGTTAAAGAACATGAGAAGAACAAAGAAAGAAAATCCAAAGACTATGGAAGGTCCAAGTCAAAGAAAAAGAAAAAAAAGAAAAAGAGAACTAAACCTGGTAAAGCTCTTTTTTCTTCAGTAGAGGAAACAGTTGATATGGTTGATATACAAGTGGTTATGTCAGTCTAAGTCTGGCTTTTCATTGGCAAGTGTGCTTGGATGCAAGTTCTAACCATTTAAAGGGGGTGCAGGTCCCTTTGATTTGTTACCAAATACCTCATGTACCAGATATTCTCAGTTATACGAGTTAGTTTTGGGAGTCCTGTGTGAATGATGGAGTTTGGAAATGTTGATGGGTCTTTTTTCTGCTGTTAACCTCTTTATTTCTTACATCTTCACTTAGTATGGGATTTCAGAGGCTGTGACAATGAGTTCTATTAAACCTGTCACATCCAAAATGTTTTTCATAAAGGATAAATGTCTGGTCTCCTGAAGGGATGAAGTAAAAGCCTGACTTAAAGTCTCTACTCACTGTGTCCCTCTGTCGTGTCTCAGAACATGCCGTTCCACCTACGTTAGCAGGGTTGTAGCAGGAACATGCCTTCTCTGTTGATTTCCTGTACGGAGGCTTGGGAACGCTTTCCTTGGGCCACTTTACGCTTTGAACTTCATATGCAGGCCCGGCTGTTCTTGGTGATTGGATTCTTCTCTTCTGAAAATAGCAACTGGTTGAAAGATTTCTCTAGTGAAATGTTTGCAGATCAAGCGTGGTAACTTTCTCGCCATTGATGGGTGTCCGAGATCGTTAGTGCGGCACAGTTCAGTGCGGCATGCATGATTTGTTAAACTGGAATTCCTTATGGAGGAGTTTGAGGTGGGGAAGAAAATACCTTATCTTTTTGTTTGCTGCCATGAAGGAATAGGGTAAGCTGTCGTGAGAGAGTAGAGGAGAAGGAAGAACCACAGGCAGACTGACTCAGAATTGTACTGAAACAAATAATTTTAGTGAGTTTATAATTATATGGTGCCCTCAAATATACTGGTAACATGCAAAGTATGATTTGTAAACTTAGGCAATATTTGCACAAGTAGTACCCACAAACTGCTTGTCCGTTTGCCCTTGGCTTTTAAAATGTTGCATACCTTTTTTTGATGGTGCCCTTGTGGTTCTTCAGGCCAGGAGTGCTGAAGGTTTTCCCCTGGTAACTGACTGGAGAGTGCAGGACAGCCTGGGTTTATGTGCCGTCCAGGGCGTGAGGAGTGGTACTTCGCAGAGGAGCTGTCCTGGGTGTTCTCCCACACGTTCCTAGTTGGATCTCTTCCTTTCCACCATACATCCTCTTCCCTACATACACTAGGAAAATAGGAGAAGAGGAACTTTCTGTCCACTTTGTAGTCTGTGAGATTAGGACGTGTGTGTAGCCCGTGTGAATAACAGTGGGATGTGAGGGAGAGGTCTCCAGCTGGCAACGCGTGTGTAGAAGTGCCTGTGATGCAGCAGCGTTTGTAGACACGCTCACCCTGAAGAACAGTTAGGTCTGAGTAACCAGTTCAGCCCTTCTCACTTACACCAGCAGCGAAGGATGACTGAGTGCACAAGATTTTTCTGGTTCTGATGATAACTTTCTTGCCTCTAGAAAGCCTGCAAAGCTTTCAGCAGCATAGCGAAGTCCTAGAGTCCCAGGATATCGAGGTGGAAACTGTCTCAGTGAATTATACATGCCTGCATGATGCTGTCTTTTCTTCTGTCAACTTTTCTTGACCACAGGCTTCTGATACTAACACTTACCATTTTACAGAATACTCTGGCAGTGAAGAAAACACAGATATTTCACAGGAACTTTCTCCTGAAAAATCAGTTGTCACAAAATGTATTTCTTCAAATAAATCATCTGCCCACCCAAGCACGCTGCTGCACTGCTCTGACTCTGGACAGCACAGAGGAAAATCGAAAACAAATGGTGAGATGCTTTCCTCTACAGTTTGCTGACTCTCCTTCATTACCAGGGAAGGTGTGAGCTGCACTAATATACAGGAGAGCTGATGCTCCTGATGTAAATTTGGCTATTCTTACACAGGACTCTGTGTGTTGTTTCCACTACCTGAGGAAGTTGAACCCAGTTCGTTTGCCAGAGCTTGATACTTTTTGCTTTGACTTTCTTGGTCTTTGTCTTCGTGAAAGCCTTAAGACTGTTGTCCTCACTTCAGAACTCAAACTCATTTTACACTTGTTTGCAGCACCTTATTAACTCTATAATAACAATGTTCAGACTTCAGTAATTAAATTTATTTCCTAAGGTTTCCTCAAAGTAACAACTCATTCAGAGTTAAAAATAGATGCTATGCAAGTTTATAGAGTATGTGTACTGCGTTTGAGAGACCACTGGCTGTGGTTGTGTGTAGCTGTATAGACAGAGTATGATACACGGTTATGATGACTTTGAGCTTTGTAATGATGAGAAGCTCTTGGGTAACTATTTATTAGTGTCTCCATAGTACTTCATAAACAGAGCTCATAAAAATGTGGCTGGTGTGTTCCTTCCCAAGTACTTAGGAAAGAGGGTTGTATCCCATAGGTGGCATAAAACTTTTAAACAGGAAAAATAACTAATGCATTGGGTTCTCAGCCCCTTACATTTGAAGGCAGATGTTTCTCCAAAAGGTCTCGTTTATACCACAGACTGGTGGTTCTTTTTCTGCAGTCTTGTTTTAGAGGCTAAGTATTTAAAATAGTTCTACCAAATATAGGTGAGACACCATGACCTAGTTAAGAGTGACTAAAATTTTTACCTTCTACTTCCATCCAGCTCATTAGAGTATTTCCTAAATAATTAAAATCCTTATCTTCTCCCTCTGACCCTCCCATTCTATCCCCAAGGAAGGTATAGACATTGCATTAGTATTATTGAGGTAAGCGTCTCAATTTAGCATGTTCAGTAAAGATTTTGGCATTTTGATTCACTCCACAGAGATGTATTAATGCTTTAAGTAGCGTGGGAGCTTGCTTAAAGAATACCTTGAGCAGCGCACTGCCCCGAGTTGATAAAGGTGTCCTCAGCAGGTGTCTCAATGAAAATCATTTCTGAAGCAGGATTAAAATCTGTGTTGGGCTCTGGATGTTTCTGTAATGAAGACATTACTTTGTGAGGTCGAATGGTTCGTTAAGACATAACCCCCGTGTCTTTTTGGGAGCTCTACACTTAAAGTAATGAGTCACAAGTCCATACAAATTGCAGAAACCAGTATGAATCCTGTTTGAATTCATAAATTTTGTTTTGTTTATTATTCTTGTCTAAAGAGACTTTGTACTGTCAATATACAGTACCTCAAACCAATTTAATGACAGAAGCTGTTAACCTGGAATATTTGAAGGAGTTAATAATGAGAATATAAAACTTAATTATGTAGTAACCTTTAGTTAACCTTTAGTTTATTGAAGTTTGCTACATAATGCAGTAACATTGTAACGTTCCTTAAATTACGGGTGAACTCAAGCTTTTAGAATTGTATGTCTGCATACTCAGGATGAAATCTTTGAGTTATTTGACCTTTTTGTAATTACTTGGGATTTTATCCAACTACTTTTTGTACAGAGGATGACACCCTAAGTGAGTCATCTATGGATAGCTTGCTCTGGAGTGATGATGACTGCAGTCAGGATGTTGATGTAACCACGAACCCTGACGAAGAAGTTGAAGAAAGTGATTTTGAGATTGTTCGGTGTGTTTGTGAAGTAAAAGAAGAAAATGACTTCATGATCCAGGTAAGAAGTTGGAGGGTGAATGAGCATTTCTGTGAATACAGTGGAAGGTGTCAGTGGAAAAGCTATTGCAGCAATATGCACAGGTACATTCCATACATGAAATAAATTGTTCTGGTCCTCTGAAACCATAAAATTTTTAAGATAACCTGTCAGGGTGAGCAGCTGCTATGAAAGTGGAAAACTTTTGCTTTTTGATACAGTTCGTGAAAAATCTTCAGTATGGTTTTTTTACTCAAAGGAAAGTGGGGGAAGAGGGACAATCCTACACAAACCACTAACAGTTGGCTTGTCACTTTTAGATTTGGATTTTTCTAAAAATTAGAATGCTTCCTAGGTTTAGAGGATATATATTTAAAATCAGTGACTTTTTATCTGGCTTTTTTGCATCCCTCCAATTCTGAGCATGTTCAGAACATCGCCTTGAGATGGTGGCACCCTTCCACTTACCTACATTGGCAGGAAGCTGAACTTAAACATACAGTCCTTTAGGTGGGGTGCACAACAAAAACTCATGACTTGAGTCTTTTGTTTTGAAGCAGAGCTGCATTCATTCATTCGGCAGCTTCTTCTGTGGTTTGTAAATTCAGAGTGCCTAATCAGCAGAAGGCCATTTGTCTGTCATCCATGAGCATGCTCTTTTTAAACCAACATTATAGAGAACTGTTTCCAGCCAGAGCAGTGTCTATTATCTCTCACTTAAAGCTGTTGCTAAAAGCCTCTTTGGAACTGCCCTGACTGTTTACTTTTACTTTGTTCGTAGACGATCAGGAAACCATTCCCCACATAACTACTCTGAGCTATTCCACCCAGTTCCTATTAATTTTAATACTGAAGTCAAACATCAAGTAAAAAACTTCAGCACTTTTTGCTCTAGTTCATTTTGCCACTGCCGTTTGTGAGCTGCACGGTCCCCTTTGGTAATTCCTCCCAAGTCTTAGAAGAAGCATGCGCAGAGGCTTAAGCGTGTGATGCTCTTGAACCTAGATCACAAGCTTTTTGTAGTTGCCTGTCTGAAAAAATGAGGAAAAAACTGTCCTTTTTTCCCCCCTTTCTTTTGTTTGTTTTGGGGGTTTTTAGAAGGCTCCCACCCTTCCTGTCTAGATAACTTTTCCTGTTGTGGGACCTCTGTTCAAAGTGACAGTAGTATAGCTTGGCAACTGTGCTCGTTTTTAAGGTAATTAATGCATTCTTTTGATAAGGTTGTTTTATTTGTGAAAGGATATGGCGTGACACTGACTCAGAAATATTTTTCTGGCAGGCGAAGCTCACCCCCATCTACAGCTTTTGAATTCACTTTCCTAGGCATTCTGTTGCTACTTTTTATGAGGTTTGAATCTGACTTTATGGGACCCCTTACTGGGACAGTTGCTGGCGTGTTAATGTGAACTGTGTTTCTTTTTGCTGTTTGGAAGTAGGAGGAAAGACAGAAGCTGATCTATACCTACCTCACAGCTGCTGATGGGTTTTTTTGTTGGACTTTATTGCTTGAATGAGGCAGAAATCTGTTAAGGAGAAGACAGGGTGCACTACTTAAATTGTAGTGAAGAATGTGAAGAATTCTGCAGCAGAACAGTAGAAACGCCTGTTTTGCTCTGAACGTCAACAGCCCAATTGTAAAAAGCTTTAATAGGGCTAGCTAAAGCAGCCAAATTTTTTGTCCTCAGTAGTCAAGTTTAACAGCTAACGTCATTGTGTGGTTTTCTTTGGCCTTCCGTGCTGTTTAATAGAGATTTGCTTTGGCAGGTACAACACTTTTTCCCTTAGTGCTGAGTTCATTTTAGTGGACACCTTTGTATCAGTGTTGAATCCGAACAACGCAGGACAAAAGATCACCTTGGCAGGAGAGGGTGCAGTGATGGGCAGTGGCCAAAATTAGATAAATAGTATCTGAGTGCATAGGAGAAAAAGGAGTCTGGTGGTTGGGAATAAAGGGGACTGGCTGCCTGCTGAGGAGATGGCTCAATGAGAAACACGAAGATGTGGTCTGGAAAAGAGTTTTCTGGCAAATGTAAGCTCAACACTAGTCTATGGCTGCAGAATGCAGAGAACTGTCAGCCAGCGTTTTAAACAGTTTACCTGTGTTATAAAAGAGTTACCTAGGAGAGCAGGTGGTTATCTCTGGAAAAGAGGTACAGATCAAGAGCGTGCTGAGTACCTGCATTCAGTACAGGGGTTGAAGCAATAGGAGCTGGGAAGCAAGGAACTGGCAACAAGACTATGGGGAGGTAGGTTAGGCAAACGGTTTCTTAAAATGCCAGATGCTGTGCTGCCCATAAACTCTGTCAGCCTGTAGTTTTTGGGGGAAATGTTTTGAACGATCTGGTGTTCTGTTGTAGGTGTAGAAATGCCTGAGTTAGCTCTTTAAAGTACAGTGCATCAATACAAAGCAAAGGTGCCATGTCGTACAACTCTGAATTTATGACAAGGGGAACCTGTTTTCAGCTTTTCAGAGGTGTAGTGCCAAGATTAACACTTCCCTTTGACTTTGTAGAGCGAGAATCCTGTGTGGCTGTCATAACTTTATAAGAAGGAAAGATTTCTTCTCTATTTCCTACTCAGACTTTAATTTGACACTTGGACACTTGAATTTGGAAGTGTCTGCCGTGAAGAATTTGCATTTAGACTTGCCCGATCTTCCTGAAAATGTGTAACTTTTCTTGCTATGTGGGTTTTTAGAAGAACTTTGTCGTCCTTTGCACTTGTCTCCATTGGGGTACTTATTCTGCTCCTGCTTATTATTCGGATGAGACCTGACTGGAACATGCTGGCACTCGGGGTGCTTGCTGGAGCTTGTGCCTCTGTGCCAATCGACCTTGACTTGGGATCAGAGTTAGGGCAGTTTCTCCATGCGTGTGACTGGAGGCTCATTCCTCCCAGGATATGTGTGTGATGCCCTCTTACAAGAGGAGAATGAGTCATTTTCCCTTTGAACTGGGCTCGTTTCCATTAATGTGCCCAATTTAGAAATAATGAGGAAAAAATGTTAATTTTAAAAATAAGCAGCACCTTTATTTTTCTTGAAAGATCAGAGTCCGTTAAGGTTTAACTCTTACACAGTTAAACTGAGAGTTTGTTCCATTTAGGTCTTTAATAATAAAACCTCTGGAAATTAGTGATTTTGCAAAAACTTCTTCCGTTATTTTGAACTTGCCTTAAATGAATTGTCTCAAGCAATTTGTGCATGAAGAATGCCATTCTTTACACTGAGGTGCAGAAATACGGGTTTGCATGTAAAATGAGTACCTGCCTCAGTAGAAGTTAAAACTGGATGTATTATTTTTTTATACTTTTTTCATTGCTCAATGCTGTTTCATTCCAGTCTCTCTAACTTTGCAAGGAGGGGAGTAGGTTTCACTTACGGAGCCTGCAGAAAGTAGCAGCTTGGCATTGCTGCGCGTTACTGCTGAAGGCACAGGACTCCGTTTGGAGGGTGAAGCTTGGGCCCAAAAAAGTCCAGACGAAAACTGCCAGTGTCTCTTCCTTTTGTTTTTTATACCTAAACATTGAAGTTGTGTGTGATGTAGAGAATTCTGGGGCTGGAGTTGGTGGCCTTGGAGGTGATGGACGTAAATGGACTTGGGATATTTTTGTTCTGGTAGCTGAAAAGTGCTTTAAATGCACGTCCATTGGGTTTGGTTATTTCTTTTGCAGTTGAACTTTGATGTAAAGGTTATTGTGTCAGTCTGCGTGGTTTTCCTCTTCAGAATCTCTTACTTGACTTGCTGCGAGCCTCCCTACTACTGCCTGGGCAGGGGGTAGCTTCTGTGTAGGATGTGTCCAGAGCCTGGAGCCTGGGCAGCCACTCTGCAAAGCAGGACGTGCAGATAAAAGGAAAGGCCTGTGCCCTAATGGGGTGGGTATTTAAGTAGGAGTTGAGTAAAATAAAAAAAGTTGAGATGCTTCATTGGAGTTCTGGGGAAATTTGCGTGGAAAGATCACTGCGTGTAGCCCTGTGCTACATGGTGGGATTTATCGGACGAAGGTGTAACTAGGTCCAGGAGCTCCCTTCTTATTTTTAGCACACAGTCTATTTTTCTTAATCTGTTTTCTTCCTTTTAGAACTTTTTTCTGGCTTTTTTCTGGTTTTTTAGAACGTTTTTCTGGCTCCTACTAATCATCTTTATGAGAGGAGTGTGGTCTCTTGGCCTCTTTTGGAAATGTCTCTCTATTGCTGTAGGACTGTGTACCTGTTTTGTAGGGCCTTTGTTAGTCCTGTCCTTTGGACACTCATTTCTCTCCACCCATTTACATTCTCTGTTCCCAGTGTTTCCATTTCCTCCACACCTAGACCACTACTGTACTGCCATGATGTAACCAAAAACTGGTGATCCATTTCTGGCTC